AGTCATGGAATGAATAGGACTGATATTGTTAAGGACCCGTGAAGGTAAACGGTTGATCAAAAAAGTTGCAGCTAATACTGCTTCTCCCCAATAAGAACTAGGAACAGATGTCTGAAAAAGTAGTGCTCTAGCAACTTCAAGAAGGTGACGATTTTTCCTTTCAGCAACCCCGTTTTGTTGAGGGGTATCAACACATGTGAGCTCATGAATCATACCTCTGTCTGAAATGAATTGTGACAGGCGTTGATTGACGTACTCAGTACCATTATCAGATCTGAGTCTTTTAATACCCTTACCAAACTGAGTCTCAACCATGTGATGAAACCAAATAAATATCTCTGGTACTTCAGACTTGTCTTTCATCAAGTATATCCATGTTATCCGAGTACAATCATCAATAAAAGAAACAAACCACCTAGCACCTGAAACACTGTGCACTTTAGAAGGGCCCCAAACATCAGAATGGATAAGAGAAAAAGGTTCTCTGCTTTTAATAGTGCTAGAAGGAAATGACACTCGATGGTGTTTTGCAAATTCACAAACATCACAATGAAAGGTCTCAACCGACTTATTGAGAAACAGAGAGGGGAACATAGACTTCAAAAGACTAAATGGTGGATGCCCGAGACGCTTGTGATGGAGCCAAATCATAGACTCTGCAGTAGAAGGATGACGTGTCATTAATAACTGATTTTTGCTAGCATGGTCTGGAAGGAGATGATACAACCCATCCTGTTCATTAGCAACTCCAATTGTCTTCTTCGTGGTAAGATCCTGAATAAGACAATGAGAAGGAAAAAATGTGATAGAACAATTCAAATCAGTTGTAAGTTTTTGAGTGGAGATAAGATTAGTAGAAAGCTGAGGAACATAAAGAACATTTTTAAGAAACAAGGAAGGTTGAATTTGAATGTTACCAGAACCAATAACTGATTTATGGGATCCATCAGCTACGGATATAGTATGACTACCAACAGTAGGATGATAAGAACAAAATAACTCAGTACGACAAGCCATATGATCAGTTGCACCAGAATCCAAAATCCATGAGGTTTTAAAATCAGTGCAAGAAGCAAGAAGAGATATAGAACGTGTGCTCTTACCAGATAAGATCGAAGAACTATCATGCTCAGCCATTCTTTAACAAAAAAAGTTAACAACCAGCGATAAAATCAACCAAACAGAATATCAAATGACCTCTGATCAGAAAAATAATTACAGATCCAGACAGAAGACAAGAAGACGAGAAGAATGGTGGTGGTCCGGTCAGAAAACACGGCCGCACGCGCCTCCACGCGCCGGAGAAAGGAGCTGCGCGTGGGATTCACTCGCCGGGAAAGGGGCGGCGCGTGAGAGCGCGTGGATGGGCTTCGCCGGCTGAGATTTTTCTGGTGTGGTCGTCCGGTGAGCGCACACCTGTCTGTGGGTGGTCGCGGTTGAAAAGTCGCCGGAAAGTGGTCCAAACGGTGAAGACAGATCTGATTGGAGGCGATAGGAGGTGTTTCGATCGTTTGTGGCGGAGGAACACTGCGTAAAATGATAGATCGGAGGAAAAATAAGGTCAACAATGGTCCCCTTGGTCCAAAAGGTCCCCGGAAAAATTTTCCGGTGGCGGCTAATGGCGGCAAGAGGCAAAGAAATTAGGGTTTTGTTAAAAAAGAAGATAATATGTGCGGAAGCAAAGCCCTCAGATCGAGAGCTCTGATACCAACTTGAAAAAGGGTATTCTAATATATTATAGAATTGTAAATAATCTGTACAAAGGGTTCTCTATTTATAGAGAATATTTGACCTACTTTTAACCTAATGGGCTTGGCCCAATACAACAAAGGGCTTGGCCCAATACAACAATAAATGACTAAATAAAAACTAAATAATAACTAAATCAATATTATTTACAACAATGATAAAGATTATTTTATATCAGTGTAAATTACACTCTTAATATTAGTTGTTGATCCTATTTATATTTAACAGTTCTAATTTATTAGATATTTGAGTTATTAGATGAAAGTAAATCAATGATCAAGATGTGATATAATATTTTATATTCTCGTTCTGGTGTAAAATTATCATACCTTATTTATATATATATATATATATATATATATATGGGGTGATATTTATTCAATTGTAGGATAATGAAATACTTATTTATCGTATCTATGTTTAAAATTGTCATTCAGTAACATTAATAGTCCAATAAAAAGAAAAACTATGTTTAGAAAGTTTGTTTATATCTCATTATCACAGTTAAGAAATTAGTTTATATTAAAATAAATTAAAGCGTACTGCATTTTTCATTCTTAAATAAAATATGTATGTTTTTTAAAATACCAGATTTTAAATATCTTTCAAGAAAAAAATGCATAATTTACTATTCTTTTATGAAGCTATCTAAACAACGTATAACTTTTTTTAAACCATACAATCTTGATTATTTAAATTATCAATAAATAATGCCAAGTAAAATAATGGTAATTTTTAAATGAAAAATATAAGAATCATATTGTAGGAAGAAAAATTTGATCATATTACAGATTGTAACTATATATTATGGTAGTACATAATTAAATATTAAAGTTATTTTTTCTTTTTCCGCCACGTCAGCCAATAACTTTTTGAGATACATAATTATATTTTTTTGGAAGACCAAATTCTTTTCCTAGGACAACGATATTACAATTTTTTTTTATACAAGAAAAGTATTACAATTTTCATTTAAAGTTTAAACATTACAATCAAATATCTTGTATATATGGAAGTGATAAGCTCGGGTATGTTGAAGAACATCCTCATCACGTTGACCACACGTGCCATTTTAAGCAACATTTTGTACTTTGATAATAAGATTTATTTATGACGAGTTTGTTTGGATGAATTTTTTTTTCTTTCAAAAACTTTTTTTTTTCAGAAAAAAAAAATGCTTTTCATTTTAAGTTCATTTCAATCTCTGCTCTAAAAAAAAGTAAAAGTCATAAAAAAGTTAAAAACTTACTTTATTGAAAGTTAAAAATTTCAATTTCTAAAAAAAGCAGAAATCAAAAATCAATTTTTTATTTCAAAAATTAAATATTTTTATAAAAATATAAATAATTTTAACTTTTATAAAAACCCTTCTAAGATAACAAAGAAATAAAAACTACTTTTTCTAAAAGCCTAAACAAACGGGACTCATATATGTCTTCTTAATAATATAGGTGCATAATTGGAATTCAAAATACATGTAATGTATTTTGTTAATAACCTGTAGCGTGCGACACAACGCTGTAGCCATGTCAAGTGTGAACTATCTATGCAGCAACGCACGCAGACCATGCTCCGTATGCAATAATTTTTTGGTACTATTTCTGTATCAAAGATTCAGTGCATCCTACTAATGAAAATATTACATGTTAGTTAAATTTTTTTTTGTCTGTCAAATTCTCTCTCTCTCCTCTAACATGTAATATTCTCATTATTGAGATGCACTGAATCTAGGTACAATAGTAATACTAAATATTTATTCCTAGACACTGAATTGTTAGATCCAATCACAAGGCCTCCGAACAGGTTTTCGTCACACAATAAATACAAAGCATCTCCGGATATATATTCTCCTCTCATTCCGTTCACTCCGCCTCATTCACTAAATGTCTCAAGTGCTGGAGTCATTGTAGGGTCACAACCACCATATGTTCATTAATTATAATCGAATGGAGGAATCACATTCTACCATTATCAAAGGAGACTCTACAACAACATCCTTACCAATCTAGATAATTTGGTCTGAACAATATCCTATAAGAAAAATACTTGTTATGCATTTATATATTTTACATCCCTCACATGTACGATTATATACGTGTAAACGAAATGAGATAAAATTATATATAGTTTAGTGACAAAAATTAGACAAATATGATATGGTATATCTTTAAAGAAAAGCTGGAAGTGTGGTTCATTGAACAATAAACAAAGCATCTCAATGCCTACTCTACAAATTGACATACGGAGTGTCAGTGCATTCTATCTATTATCCTAGCTGTTTATTTTATTTTAAATATCAATTAGTGTTTGAAATTCTAATGAATCCGATTAATTCAATTTTGAATTTGTGCCTTTTTACTGTGTCTAAAAATTACGACTCTCAAAAATCAAATTCATTTTTGGCAAACAGGTAAAGTTCTCTCCAATATCCCATATACTGCTCTCTAGAGTGGGGGATTCTCATGAAAGTATCGGAACATTTTTTTAGAAACTGATTCTAATTATTTCTTTGAGACGAATCAGAATTTTTCGGTATCCACACGGGTTCGACTCTTTGAGCTACCTATGTGATTAATCTAGAGTTCGGGTGCGAGTCTAAAGATTACGGTACTTATACCCCTCCTCAGATGGTGTTGGTGGAATTCAAACCGAGATCCTCTCCCACCACTCAGTCCTCATACTACCAACTGAGCCACCACAATTTATCCACATGTATACTCTACCTCACATTTTTGCTAATTTGAGGGTCCGAATCATATACACCACCTCTAAATTACTGAAATGCAAAGGAAATCAATACTCAACCAACACCAAACACTCGCGACAAAAAAAAAAAAAAAAAAAAAAAACATAGGAGAACTATCTTTCATACCCTATGAGACATAAGATTTACATTGCTCATCCTGAAACATGTTGCTCATTTTTTGTATACAATATGTTAAATGCATTTCCTATATCTGCTTACTCGAAAAAAAGAAAATCAAATTACATTTCTCATTATAAATGATATTTTGATGAATACAATATTTTGATTCCTAACACCATAGTCAAAGATTAATTTTAAAAGAAAATTATATACAACATAACTAATATGCTAGATTTTATTAAGCCAAAAAGGGAAAACATTGAATAATAGTTTGTGGATTGTGAGTGGAGGAGAGGAATGTGAAACGAAACCTTGTTTGGGTCTCGCCAATAATTGCGAGCAAATAATGAATGAGTGGCCCTCCCTTCTCATTCTATATATAGCATTCCTTTCCACTCCCAATGCCCTCTCACAACACTTCCCACCCTCATATCTCAACACATTATCTTAAACTCTTTTCTTCTCCGATCTCTCTCTCTTTTAACTCTGCACAGGTAAGTTCTGAGTCCCACTGCTGCCCTTATTTTCATCTGTTGCTTTTTATTTTATTTATTTTTTCCAGTTTAGGGTTTAAACTTTGAACTCTCTTGGCTTGAGTTTGTCTTCAATGTCTCATGTAACAGTTTTACCGTGTTTTTTTTTTTTTTTTTTTTATATATATAGATCCTCGTTTTCGTTTTTTTCTCTGCATATCATTCCTTTTTTGTTTTACTCTCACCCATTATTATGGTTGATATTATTATATTTATTATGCTCTTGTTCAATTCATTACTCTTCACCTGAAGACGAAATAGATATTGTACTTTAACTTTCCCCCTTTTCCCTAGTTCTAAAAATTCAATTTTTTTTTTTTTTTTGAATGAGTTATTGTTTTCACATGCTTCTGTTATCGAACCACATTCTAGTATCCCTCATGTGCCCGCATGTGTTGTATGTCGTTTATTTCCGCCAATTCTCGCCGTGTTTCTCAGCCTGATTATTCCTTAGAATGAGGAACTTTCGTGAATTGCAGCTTTTTATCTTCCCAGGTGTCATTCTCCCCTTGCCTGACAACATCCCCACAGTGAAAATTGTGTATCTGCTCATGTTTTGAACTCAAATCTTAACAAATTTCTGCTTATCCTCGTAATTCAATTGGTGTTGCAGAATGGGGAGTACTGGAACTGACTATGGTGCATACACCTATGAGAACCTTGAGAGAGAGCCTTACTGGCCATCAGAAAAGCTTAGAATTTCCATCACTGGGGCCGGGGGTTTTATTGCGTCACACATAGCACGCCGCCTCAAGACAGAGGGACATTACATTATTGCTTCTGACTGGAAGAAAAATGAGCACATGACTGAGGACATGTTCTGTGATGAATTCCATCTTGTTGATCTCAGGGTCATGGATAACTGCCTAAAGGTTACTAAGGAGGTTGACCATGTTTTCAATCTCGCTGCTGATATGGGGGGGATGGGTTTTATTCAGTCCAACCACTCCGTCATTATGTACAACAACACAATGATTAGCTTCAACATGATTGAGGCTGGAAGGATTAATGGCATTAAGAGGTTAGTCATCTCGGATATCATTTCAGTTATATATTTCTCAGTGACCAATAGTTGAACAAACATTTATGTTACGATGACAGTTTTATTTATATTATGATGCTGTGCTTTACGCTGCCATTTTCTTTTTCAGGTTTTTTTATGCCTCTAGTGCTTGTATCTACCCTGAATTTAAACAGTTGGAAACTACTAATGTGAGCTTGAAGGAGTCTGATGCATGGCCTGCTGAGGTTTGTTGGTGATCTGTTTTAATTGTTCAATTTATGTACGTTATTCATTTTCGCATTGGGATTGTGATTAATTTTATGACTATATATAGCCGCAAGATGCATATGGGCTAGAGAAGCTTGCAACGGAGGAGTTATGCAAGCACTATAACAAAGATTTTGGAATTGAGTGCCGCATTGGGAGGTTCCATAACATATATGGCCCTTTTGGGACATGGAAAGGTATGCTCTTAACTGAATTGCAAACTTTTATTTTTATGTAATCAGAATGAGTAATTAGTAAACATTAAAAAAAAAAAATTGGTACCTTTTTGGAATTTAATGAGTTTGTTGCTTTGTTGTTTTGTCATACAGGTGGAAGGGAGAAGGCTCCTGCAGCTTTTTGTCGAAAGACACTCACTTCCACTGATAGATTTGAGATGTGGGGAGATGGATTGCAAACACGATCATTCACATTTATTGATGAGTGTGTTGAAGGTGTACTTAGGTAAGTCTTGGCTGATGTTGGGGCTCATGCAGCTAAATTTATGTGCTCTTTCTGATTTTTTTTTCTGTTTGAAATTAAAATTTTGAACTAGTGGTTTTTTTTTTTTTTTTTTTTTTTTTTTTTTTTTTATGATGAAAACAGAGTCAGTAGAGTTAAACATTATTGGATTAAATGGCTACAAGAGGGATTTTTGCCTTTATGTAATTTTGGATTTGCCTTGTTTGGTTGGATAGAGAAAGATGGTTGTTTGGTTGGATAGAGAAAGATGGCCGTACATGACATGAAAGTCACACTCGGAAAGGATGGATAATTAACTAGAGCAGCAAACATTGTAATGAAACTGATTGCGAAGAGGGGAAATCGGCCACGTTAAAATTTTGAGAATAATCGAAATATTGCTTAGCAACAATGTCACAAGTGGGTCAATGTTGGGTAAACTAGAGAAGTTTGGGCAGAACCACATCTAAATGCTTGTTAGGTAAGTCTTGTGGTAAGAGGAGTAGTTATGAATACCGTAGATCATCCCCATGGTGGTGGTGAAGGGAGGGTCCCAATTGTTGGAGAAAAACCCAAAACTCCTTGGAGTTATCATGCACTTGGGAAAAGAAGTAAAAAAGGGAATAAATATAGGAATAATTTGATTCGTCGTCACCGTAGTAAATAATATAGTAGAAAAAATTGGATTTCGTTATCTATTTCTTCAATTAATACTTATTCTATGCTAATGCTTGACATTGTGGTCCATTGTTGTGTTTTAGGTTGACTAAATCCGACTTCCGTGAGCCAGTAAATATTGGAAGTGATGAGATGGTCAGCATGAATGAGATGGCTGAGATTGTTCTTAGCTTTGAGAACAAGAATATTCCGATACATCACATTCCTGGCCCAGAGGGGGTTCGTGGTCGTAACTCGGACAATACGCTGATAAAAGAGAAACTTGGCTGGGCGCCAACTATGAAGTTGAAGGTATTAATATTATTAATTGGGTGATAACTACCTTCCCATTTCCACTTTATACAATTTATTTTTTTAGATTAAGGTCTGCTGAACAGTCATAGCTCATAGGTCAATTGCACTTTGTCCAGTTTAATGTAGTTGTATAAAATGAATTCTCCCTTCTTTTCTGTGTCTTGAACATTTTTTTATCCAATTTAGACCCTTCATCTTCTTCAAGAAAGAGTAATGAAATGTTTAGGTTTTCTACTCAGTAGTTGACCTTATCTTCTACTTTTTTGATCTTAGGATTCTGTGTTTACTTAAGAGTATCTCAATTCTGACATTGTAGGATGGGCTGAGGATTACATACTTCTGGATTAAGGAGCAGCTCGAGAAGGAGAAGACTCGAGGTATTGATCTATCAGTATATGGGTCATCTAAAGTGGTGCAAACCCAAGCCCCAGTTCAACTAGGCTCACTTCGGGCAGCAGACGGCAAAGAATGAAGTGAAGAGTTGGCTTTTATATTGCCATTTAATAGAGGTGTCTTGTTATGGTTGATTAGCTGTTAAGGTATAGTTATGTCTGCAGGTCATTCATGTGTAGAACGGAAGCCTTGATGCTCCTATTGTATTTTATAGTCTTTTTAAGGCACTACTTGATGCATAAGGTGGTTAACTACACAATAAGTTCTAAATTATGTCAATGAGTTTAAGTCATTGATTAATAAGCATATAATTGTTTTCTTGTGAATTTCAGTGTAATTGACATTCATGGTATCTCTGAATGTTTTATTTAGTTTGCTGCTTGTGGATATATTTATTATACTAGCATAAAAAAACCCAAGCAATGTTGCCTTCACAATTGTGAAACTCGACTTGAGATACTTGCAGACTTCGTTGAAGTATCGGTTCTTTCCTACACTCTGAAAATTAGATGGGTTATGCTTGTTCTAAGTCAGGGGAATAGATGGCATCCTAGTTCTTCTCACCTTTATTTGCTTTGTCATCTGGGCCTTTTTTATTTTCTTTCCTTGTTATTGAAAAGAAAAGTGCCATTAGTTCACATTTTCCACGATGACTTTTGTTTTGGATTCACTGTCATTCACAATGAATTTCACTTGTTTTTCGTATGGCATGAAGTGTCCAAACTCCAAACTAATTTGTGGGTATGGATGTTATCTGACATGGCTAAATTGTGAGGGTTAATGTTATCGGCAAACATGTGGATAACGTGGAGGCACAAGAAGTCTAAAATATAAAATTTATTAAAAATGTTATTTTAAATCTCTTAATTAAATAAATAAAATTATATCAATTCTTAAATTGTAATGGACTGGTTAATCTGTTCTGTTTGCCACTAGCCAGCAGTCTTTTGTCCTTGAAGAGCAACCTGTTTGAATCCAATGGCGTCTACGAATGTTCTTTTGTTCATCCTGTTGTGCGAACATATGAGAAACTTAGACATAATGTAAAATTGTTTTAAAAAATTAAATTAAATTCAGTCGTTATCCTGTAACTCACACTAAAGATTGCAATAAGTGTGTAAAAATTTTATTTTTTGTAAACTACATTGCTAATCATGCTATACAATAATGATGGTGAAAAACCTCCCGACCAACTTAGCAATTGAATCATGGGATTTTATGAGGTTGGACCCCTTTTAGTGAGTTTGTAAGTTTAATATTAGGTATACATGAATAATTTTATTATTATTTATTAAGAATGGTCCGTGAGCTTCATATGGTCATTATGGTGTAAACTAAACTACTTAGCTTTTCTCTCGTGTAAGCTGCCAACCTTTCCAATTTCCAATGGGTCTTTCCTCAGTGTTATTTAATACCTTTGGGCTTTGGCCAATAGCTGCAGCATTTGCTCATAACATAAATTAATACTTAAGAGTTGGCTGGACTGAAGGACTCAAGATTCACAGAAATTACAACCAATCAATTAAGGGTTCAAGTTTTATGTTTGCATGAAAATATGAGAGAACAAAAGTAGAGACAATTAAATGTAGATCTCACATTTTATATTAAAAAAGAAAAAAAATTAATTGGCACAAAAAAACGAATTTGTGCAGAAAATATTTTTGGTCTCCTGCGACTGCGACGACGGGAGAGCATGATTTCCGATCAATTAAACTATATATTAACTAAAATCTTCTCAAACAATTGCTTGGACAGTTTATTTGCTAAACAATATATTTTTCTTTTTGCTGTTTCTGCCTTCATTAGCAATAAAGTTTAACTATCCAATTACAAATACTTTTCTGTGGTATATCGAATCGCATTAATCAAAATTTGTAGTCCCACATTGTACACCACCGCAGGGGGATAAAGCATACTATTTTTTTTAGATACAATGATGCAAATAATATTACTTTGTTTGTTATAAACAAATAAGAGAGGGTTATATTTACAAACTTTTTATTTTACAAACTCTTACAAACTATACTATGTACTCCCTGGATAACACTAGGTTACACTACTATGTTCTATCGGGAGTACATAGGTGCAAAAATTTGTAAAATAATTTTTGTAAACAGATTATTCCTCAAATAATATTACTTTGTTTGATAGTGCCACAACTGGGATCGCAGCGGAACAATTACTATTTTTTTTTAAATACATTAATAATGAAATTATCATTAATCTTATTTAATTTAAAATAAATTATTATTATTTTTAAATTTTTGAACTGGTTTTTGAAAATTTAATATCATCGTTTAGAGTGTAATTATGAACAAGAAAGGTATAAATCTAAGGGATAGGATATTGTGACAACTAAATAATGTTACTACCAATTTACTACCATACCTGATACATATACCATTCTTAAAAATATTCGTAGGTTAATTAATTTTATTTTTGAAAATATCATTTGTAAAAATATCACTTTGTTTTTCAATTATTTTTGCTTAAATTTATAACTTGGATTCTTGGAATCATAACTGTCGCAATTAAAATGACATACACATTATTACCAAAAAATAAAATAAAAAAATGACATACACACACCCAATTTTTTTTTATGAAATTAACAAATCGACATGGTTAAAACATTAGTGCACCATTGTCATGATTAAATTAGTACTGAACAATTCTTTAAAATTATGTGTAGCTTAAATAATTTTAATTTCAAAAAATATTTTTAAAAAATATCACTTCGTCTTTCAATTAACAAGTCATAACGATTAAATTATTTATTTATTTATTTTCGTACTTTTTTCAAATTAATGCAAGATTTAGGATAAATTTTAGACTTTTTAATTTTAAAATATTAGTACAAATCCACGGGAAAGCACTTAGTTTTCTATTTAGTTAGAGATTTCCTTTTTAGATGTATTTCTTTTTGTTTTACTTTTGATGCCATAATATATAGACAATTTACTTTGTTCGATATCTCGTGTATCAATTCTTATAATGTTCTGCATTTTTAAATGCATTTGGATTATATAAACAACTTAAATTGTTAAAAAATTGATATCATCAATGATTTTAAAGTTTACACAGATTTTGAAATACACATCTTTTTGAAAGAGTTGTGTTCTCTAATTCATTTATGCACTTATTTTATCTCGAATGACTCATTTGCAAATGCTAATTAACTAACTGAGATCAAATTGCCTTTGTAATTTCCTCATATCCCCGTACATCAAACATTATAGAAATGAATAAATCAAAGTTTAAAAAGTATATAATAAATTTCTTTATATCATAATTAAATATACCATCTAAATATTATCAATTACATACCCAATTTTAGTTCCTAAGAAATTTAATGCAATTAATAGTATATTAATTATAAATCTAATGAAATACTTGCCCATATAAATTAAGAAAAACTTAGAGAGAGAAAATTAAAAAAATTAATATAATAAAATATATTTCAAAAATAAGGAAGAAAAAATAAAGTTAATTTTTTGGTTGATTAGGGATTTCCTTTTTCAACACATTATTTTGTTATTAAATAAAATATATATACATTTAATTTTCTTATTCTTTTGTTGTAAACTTTATTTTTTTTATAGATATCATCCCTCGGTTAATTGATTACTCAACTAGTCTGATCCGATTCGAGTGGTTAGAATCACATGCAAGTCTTATTTCTCTTCGTCATTATTAATTTCTGCTATTAATGTTTATTATTTAAAATGGAAGATATTGTCCTTAATTGAAAAACTTAAAAAATGAAGAATTTTTATGATTACATTTAATTTTATCTTATGAAATTTGTTACGAATAAAAGAGTTAAATGACAATTAAGAAATCCTAGTTTTGGAAAGGTCTCATTTTTATAAAATTATGACACAATCAATTAAGTTTGCATGGCAATTAATTTTTAATGTCGATTGAATAAATCAAATGAAAATGTTACGCATTCTATATTAAAATAAGAAATTATTTATAGATAAAATATATAATTTAATTTCAATTTTTTAAATGTAATTAATTATTATTGATACTATTATATAAAATAAGTTTTTTGTTTGTAAGTTTTATGTTAGATCTCACCTTTAAGTTCACTTCTTCTTCAAAATTAACTTTTTTTTTTTTTCATAAACAAAGGGGCTAAAAGCCACACAGAACAAGAGAAAAACAGAAAAAACTACTCAGGAAGAGCTACAATACACTCCCTGCCTACCGAAGCTAAATCACCAAGGTATAAATGCTGAACACCAAGCGGTGGATGACTAAAGAAACTCTGCTTAGCTTGCTCAAAGGAATCCAAAATAAAATTAGCTAACCAGTCAGCGCATGAGTTGCCTTCCCTGAAGTTGTGATGAAGTTGAACATGCCAATCCCTTCCAAGCCACGTCCGTATACGAGAGACCAATTGCACCTCACAGACTGCTGCACCACTTTTGGTGAGCACAGTGATTGCCAACAGCGAATCACTTTCTAAAATAATTTTCCTGTAACCATTGCCCCAAGCCCTCTCCAAACCTCTCAGAATACCCCATAGTTCAACTTTTATAAGAAGAGCAAAATCCCAACTTATAGGCAAAACCATCCAGCCAAATACCTTGTGAACTCCTAATTACACCTCCACAGGCTGCCATACCAGGATTACCACGGGAAGCACCATCCGTATTCACCTTCACAAAACCTTCTTCAGGAAAAGTCCATGAAACAGTAACGTTGCTGACAAGAGGAGCAAGATTATAGTTCTTTTGATTTGTAATAGCAGTATCAAGATCAGAAATAAATTTTAAAATAATATCTACTTTACTCCCAATCGGAGGCACCACTTCACCATGATTCAGCATGTTCCTCCGGCTCCAAATCTTCCGACAAGTGACTATGAAAATGGACAGCCAACTACCATGGCTGCTGTCCATGTGCTCAGCATTAAAATTATCATCAAACTTTCAAACACAGGGTTCGTTTTTTTTTTTTTTTTTTTTTTTTTTTTGCAGCGAATGCAAATAAGTTATCTACATTCACTCTAAAAATATTAAAGTCTTAAACATATTATCCAGGGAAACAAAATTAGGCATTATTTTTTTAAAAGACCTTTTTCATAAGCCATAAATGTTTTGCCTTTGGATCAATATTTAAAAAATAATTCTAGGTAAAAATTATATTTTTATTTTTTTAAAAAAAATCAGAAATATTTGCTTAAAAATAAATAAATACTATTTTAGCCTTTTCTCTTATTTTTAATTTTTTATTCAAAAGCTTCATCTAAACATATATACACTACACATATTAAGTGAAAAGTATTTTTAAAAAAAATAATTTCTTGAAGAAATTAAAAAAGTCATTGACACGCGTCCTCAATACCTATTTTTACATATATATTAATGTCAAAATTTAAATTATAGTAATCTTCAGAATTTACATTTAAATATCATTATTAAATGAAAAGGCAATAAACTTCTCTAGTAGATTATAGTCATAATGAAATTTATACAACTTTGAAAAAGAAAGGGTAATTAGAATTAAATTATTGTTATACAAGACATTTAAATAAAATTTTCCAAGAGTAAAATAGAAATTGAATAATTTCTTTTCAAATAAATGTATTTGGACTTGTAGTATATGGATTCAAACATGCCCTAAGGACTAAATATTTCTACAGCCATTGTCTACAACTATCTCTTTTTAACTAAGTCTGATCAATACAACATAAAAATTGTATTTTCTCTCTGCCACGTCATCCGACAATGTATGAGGAGAGAAAAAAAAATGACTTTATTGTTATAACTACGTCTTACTGGTCAGACTTTGTTGAAAAATGGTAGTTATAGATAATGTTATCTAAAATGGTTGTAGAAATACTTTTTCCTTTTATTAATAGGGGAAGGATCTGTTTACAAACTTTTTTTATAAATTTTTGCAAATTACACTATATACTCCCGAAAATATATAGTGTAATCTAGTGTACTTCCGAGAGTACATAGTGTAGTTTGTAAACAAAAAGTTTGTAAATATAACCCTTCCTGTATTAATATATATTTAGACTTGAACTTTAAGTAAAGCAATCAATTTTGATTTTCTTTTTTACATAAAATTAAAGTAAATATTTAAGTGTGTATGCTCAATTTTAGTATACATCTATTTCATTTGAATTTTTACAGGACATAAATCCACTATTAAGGAGTGCATTTTTTATACTATGAAAAATGTGATAAAAAATAAAGCAGTACTAAGAAAGTTATGAATTTAATCATATTTTTCATGTGAAAACTTTAAAATTATTATTTTTTGTTATTTGTGCATCGAACAAGTGCTAATATAATAAAATTAGAAAGAGAATGTCAAATAACGTGTTGTTAATATTTTACTTAATATATATATATATATATATATATATATATATATATATATTAATATTTGTCCTTTTAAATGACATAAAATTCTGTTATTTTAATCAAAATTACTATATTTTATAACGAGAGAAATAGAAATCACGGTGAAAAAAATTAAAAGACTAAAATAACTGTCATTTAAAAGGAAAAATATTTTTTTTCATATATATATATATATATATATTATCGACATCTCTTGTTACAGGAGCTACAGTCAATATACTCAGAAATTATGCAGACTTAAAATAGGACCTATAAATATTAAGTTCATGTTTAATTTGTTTGATTTTTTTTTAGAGAAATAATTTTTTTTTTCAACTATCTTGAAAAGCTTAAAAATATTATTCTAAATAATTAATCCTAAAATACAGTATAACTTTAATTTTCTTTACACCAAACAAAAAATAAAGAGGAAATGAAACATATTAATTATCCCAATTATGAAGTTTTTATATAAAAAGTGTTTGTGAATATATTTGCACTGGAATATTTATAAATTATAAGGTCCTACCGAGTGTGAAGTTTAGATAAATATTATAGAGCTTCGAACTGAAAAAGCTTCTTTAAGATGAGCTCATCCTAATGGGAGTATGAAAGAAAAATGAGTCACGTCTCCCATGCCCATTAACCAAACTTTGAAGAAAAAACAAAACAAAAATTGACAAAAAACCCTCCTCATACCATGTGCTTAACGTCATCTATTAGGTAATCCCGGCAATTTGCCGGAGCAGGATAGAGTCAATTTTTGGGAATAAGGTTGAAGAAAATTGGAGCAGTGTCTCACTATTTATTGTCTATAATTAATGATATTAATCTCGTTGTAGCCCTGGTCAAATGGAACTTGGAAGATAAGTACTAGAAATGCAAGTCAGTCAATAAGATAGTATTAAAATAGTAAATTTAATTTCTACCAGATATATATAGTATTTTACTTATTTATTTACTTTATAAAATTTACATGTATATCTACATGTTTGGCCCATATGAATTGCACAAAAGAATAATTGATGTTTGGCTGTGGAACTATGGAGCAAGAATTTAGTGCTCCGGATCACTTTTGAATTGGTGGGACGAGCAGAAAAAAAGAGAGGACACGCCGGGAAGAGAGAAGAGAAACAAATGATTTTTTGTTGTTGATTCAAGTGTCATATTCTTAGTGGAGGGATAATCAAAGTCCTCGACCATATTAAATTTTTTCGGAACTACGAGGCTTTGGCTGCTTAACTTGTATTCTTATTTCACTTATTTACCCAGTTAATTTAAAGGAGAGAGTTATATTTACAATTTTTTTATTTACAAACTCTTACAAATTATATTATGTATTTCTGAAAATACATTAGGTTACACTATATACTTTCGAAAGTACATAGGGTAATTTGCAAAAAATTGTAAAAATTTTTTGTAAACGGATCATTCTCCAAGTTTAAGTAGTAATTTTTTTGGTAAATAATTTAAGAGAATATTATTTCTCATATTATAGAAAATAAATTTTATCTCCTACACATATATTAAAGAGTGTGGGGCATTTGAAGAAAAGAGAGAAAAAAAAAAAAACTTGGACTACAAACACTTTTATGTGCAGGTAAGAGATAAAATTATTTAAATAATAAATTTAATTTGCATATATCACGTGAAAGTGAAATCAAGATCGAAACCGTGCATTTTGTGTGAGGATATATACAGAGAGTAACCTTAAAAGTACTATACCGCTACCTAGCTTTAACCAATTGCTACAACTATACTGCTCTTCCTACAGTTGTCTTGAGCTTTTTTTCTACTATCTAACCACCCAGATTGGACTCAAGTGCCTTTCTTTCATTCAAAATGCTCAAAAAGTGTAGTTCAGGTGGCCTTCTTTTGGAAAATAACATTGAGGTCAAAAATCAAATTGAGAATGAAAAGACATGTGATACATGCTTCTTTCCATTTCGTTTCCCGAACAAATCTTCATCCCGAAGGTTTCAGATAATTTTCATCAAATCTAGTTAGCAGAGTATGGTATGTAATTCAAAATTTTCAAGCAAATTAAACTATGGATCGAAGATGCTAACCCTCTTATTCAATAATTCTTATACAATGGTAAGTAAGGACTATAAGGAATAAATTAATTGATGGTCTGCTCTGCTCATATGTGAATTATACACATGCAGTTTTCATACCATCCTGCACTAATGATTTCCATAATATAATCAACTCAGTAGAAAAGAAAGACAATAAATTTTTTTTTTTTTTTTTAATTTCTATACCAATTCATCGATTACTCGAATAATCCAGTTTACAGTTGAGTGGTGCGATACCACAAGTGCGGAAAAGCTCTCCAAGCACAATGCTATGCCTTTAATTGTCAGTACAAGCATCTATGAGACAAGGATCTGTATTAATTGATGGATTGAAAGTGGGTGAGGTATAAGAGATAGATATATATATATATAGAAGAGGAACAATTAATCCAATGTCTGATTGTGCATATATTTATATTCAGTTTTTTGTAGATCTGTATCTAATGCATATGCAACTGAAAAAGTGAAAAGAAAAAAGTTTTAGATGACTTACAAAAATCATTGAAAACCACTGTCCCCAACCCCAAGGTAGGAGGACATACCGCACGCGTTTCTGTCACTCGAATCATGAACATATGCCACCATCTATTTCTAAACTTTCCCTCTCTTTCTTTCTGCAAGAATCAAGCAACATGAATGCTAATCTCCAGATTTAGCCAACAGAAGAATACAGCAATTCATCCATCCAGAAAGCATGCATATATATATATATATATATATATATATATATATATATATTAGTGTGAAAAAATGGAAGAGAGGAAAAGCAACAATGAAATAGTACACATACGTATATATATATATATAGAGCTAATTAAGGAATAATTGAAGAACCTTTTCTAGGGTTATGTGATACTGAATGAAAACCTTGTTGTAAATCACAAAATCCATTTAGGGTTTGTATGCTTCCATTCAACAGGTGAAGCTCCCACATGATCTGTTCTTGCCATTAATTAGAAGGTAAGAACAGATCATGCTGGCAGCTTCAACTGCTGCAGGTGCATGACGAGTAGACTGACTATATGTATATGTAGATATAAGTATATATGAGCTTTCCTCCACAGAACGTAGTAGCTTATAATCTTCATCTATCTATTCTTCTTTGATTCTTCAGCTGAGTACATATATACACCTTATCTCGTTCTTCCTCTTCTCTTCAAAGTTGAGGCTAGCTTTTGTACAGAAAAGAGTGATGGGAAGATAGCAAACGTATAGCTAGCAAAGGGATAATAAAAGTATATGGTTCCCTTTTTTTGTTTTTGGTCTCCCACTTTTGTACGTTTTTTTTTTAATTAGGCTACATTTGGACCATCTCTGGTTCTGAATAGCTAGTTTTCCTGATTCCAGTGTCATCTTTTTTGTCTCATATGGTGAAGATAGATCACTGTCTCTATTTATCTTTCTTTGTATTTTTATCTTTTTTTGGGTAGCGTATTACAATACACTTACAGATATACATATATTTACTGCTTAAAAACCAGGTATATATGTTTAACATTTTTCAATTTTTGAAATCCCAAGAAGAGAAGTTTAATTTATCGATATAAAAGAGAAAGAAAAATAGCAAATTAATTAAACTGATCGAGATAATATAATATCATCATAACGTTAATCCTTTTAAAAAAGCATAAATTGTTCTACCTTTTTTCCTTTGGGAGGGAGAATGTATTTAATTTTGTGGAAAATTTTGCATGAAAAGGATAGCACTAATAAGTTTCATAGGGGAAATTTGGAGAAAGTTGGCCAATATTTAATCATGGAAGGACTGTGGTTATTCGCCATTGACCATTTTGGTAACTCCACAATTGAATTGAATTAGGGACGGGAAACCATAAAGCATTAGAAGATGAAAAGTAAAACAAGGAGAAAGATGTATGCATGTGGTCCTAATGTTGAAACGAATTTAATAATATCACGCTCACGCCACCACATGCAGACACTCTAGCGAGAGTTTCTATATATCTCAAGGGGCTTTTAAAAATTCGGTTGGATGACCCTTTCATGCTTTTTCTTTCCCTCTCTCTTTCTCATATTGTCCGTGTTGTATGTAATGTAGGCATCAATTAGAATGAACCAAATAGAGTATGGGAACAATGAGTATATGGGGGACCATTTTGAAATTTCCACGGATCCGATCGATCAGTGTGACTTAAGGTTTACACTTCACACAAATTGAAAATAAGTAAACCAACACAAAGGCAACATTTTCAAAACTTTTCTCTTTCTACAAGGGATAAAGTGCTATACATCATTAAGCTCAATGTTTGTGATTAATAGCCTTTAGCTCCCTACCCGATAGTATGATTTTTTTTTTTTTTTTTTTTTAAAATTAAGAAGTAAACAATGAACCAACTTAATCCTTCATTTGATGTTTTGCAACCGACACATACATAATTGCAACTTTCTTGCATCTTATTGGTGCCTTTCTCTTTTTAAGAAAAAGAGACGTGATAGCTTTAGCCTTAATCTTTCCTACCTAAACTTCCACTCAACCATGTTATCTCAAGTTAACCTCAAACATCATATCTATATGTGTGTGTGTGACTTTCACAAATGATAATAAATTAGGTGAACTAAACATTAGGAGTTGTTTTGACTTCGGAGGTTATTATTTCCTTTTCGTTTGATTCTTTTATATGCATATGATCCAAAGTCTCCTTGCTTATCTCTCTCTATATAATATATATGGTTAGATCATTTTACATAGATATAATTTGAACTTTTTTCTTTTGTAAACAGATATAATTTACATTTTTAATTTTGATCGTTAATCTCACTTATATACGACTTTAATTTTTTAGTTATATGAACCATTAGATACAAATAAATCAATGATCAAAATTGAGGATTAGACTTTTTATACGTATACCGATATAAAAATATCCTACCCTTATATATAAATGGGAAGAGTTCTTTTGACTCCAGAGTAAGACTTAAAAGTCTTATTCCCTATCTCACCAGTTGATGGACGGGAATTAACAGTTTTCATTTGTAGTGTAGTTAATAATTAATTAATTAGTATGATTTTCTAAATTATAACGGTTAGATGAACGAAAATCAACGATTAAAATGAAAAGTAACACATGTAAGTCTTACTCTGGAGTCAAAATCCATCTCTCTCTCTCTCTCTCTCTCTCTCTCTCTCTCTCACACACACACACACACACATATATGTGTGTGTGTGAGCTAGGATCCTTTGACACCAGTGTCAAATTTGAAATTTAACACCTCATCTGATAGCCGTTAGATCAAAAGAGATCAATGGTGTCATATGCTTACAAATCAGAGTCGTTGATCTTTTTTTAATCTAACGGCTCTCAGATGAGGTGTCAAAAGATCCTACCTCATATATATATATATATATATATATATATATATATATATATATATATATATATATAGGGACAAGATCATCTTACATCGGTGTAAGAATAATAAGTCTTACACTAAATCGTAACCATTGATTTGTTGCATCTAACGGTTAAAATTTATTAAGTCTCACTCATTAATTAATTTTTAATTTCTAATAGATCTCAACCAGTAGATGCACGGAAATCAATTGTTAAGATTTGGTGTACGATTTATTATTCTTACACCGGTGTAAGTTGATCATATCCCATATATATATATATATATATATATATATATATATATATGAGGCAGGATACTCTTACACCAGTGTAAGAGTTAGAAGTTTTACACTCAATCTTGAGCATTGATCCACTTGTATTCAATGCCTCACATTACTAAAAAAATTAGAGCCCTTAAGTGATCTCAATGGTCAAGATTGAGAGTGTAACTTACACTGGTGTGAAATGATCCTGACCCTATATATATATATAGGCTTTACTTTTCTCCAGCCGCTTGACGTCCAACAAATAAATTTGGGAAATCATAATCATATAAAGATGGGTGAAAGCAATAAATGCAGGGAATCATAACCAATCAACGATGTAAGACTTACTGCTGCATGTCCAGCAGCTGAAGAAATCATTTTACCTATATATAGGTAAAATCATTTCTGCAGTCACTTTACGAACAACAATGACAGGTGTATGGTTATGATTCTCTACATTTAATGCTTTCATCATTTGTATGGTTATGATTCCCCGCATTTAATGCTTTCAAATATATATATGACAAGTATTTGATTGTTGCACGTACAACAGTTGCAGAAATGTAAATCCCATATATATATATATATATATATATATATATATATATATATATGAGATATGATCCTTTGATACTGGCATAAAATTTTAAAATTTAACACCAACTCCTAACCGTTAATTTCCGTCAATCAACGATTATCATTTATTAGAATTAATAATTAATTAATAGATTTGATTGACAGAAATTATAACTGTTAATTGATGTAAATTAACGGTTAGGATTTGGCGTCAAAGAATCCTGCCATATATATATATATATATATATATATATATATATATTGTATTTAAAAGGCTTGAGATGTGATTTATCTAGTTTTACATTTTAAACGTAACAAAATATAAAAGAGAGCTGATCAATGTTGGTTGCTTGTGTGTAGAAATTCCCAGGCTTATTAAAAGGTAATAATCCAACTATATAATAATTGTCAAGGATATGTTATTTTACCTTCTTTTTTTTCCTATCTTTGCATACCAGTACTCTTCAACACCATTAAATCAGAATTTAAAGAGGAGAGAAAGAGATAACTGTTAATTAAGATTCTAATCTAATAATTTTTTAAAGTGATAGGCAAAAATAGGTAGAAAAAAAGATAGGTAAAATAACATATCTCTAATTGTTATTATCTAATATAAGTATGACATAATTTAATAATTGTTTCGCTGAGTAATGCTGCAGCTTTTAAAGAGCATGCAAATAATTAAATTGGACTCTGTAAGTAAATGATTTTCAATTATCTCAAAGTGTTAACAATGAAAATAAATATGCGATGAATCTTTCAAGCAATAATTAATAGTATAATCAATGTGTGAATATATCACGGATTGATGTGATTTTTTGTAAACATATTGCTCACGCCGATGTAGACTTCATTAATAGTCTCATCATCGTTCCATAACTAGTAGCGTTTCAACTTTAGATGCATTTAATATTTCCTTTTTGGATGAGACACGAATTTAATGTCTCACTATCTTTTGCGGGGAATAAAATCTTTTCATGTTTTATTTTTATATAATTAATTATGTCATTCATTCATAAAATAATGATAAACAGTTAAAGTGATAGTTTCTATTTTCTGGTTTTACGAATTTATCATTTAAGTTACAATCGTTAATTTATAAACGAATAATTTAATTATTTCACATTACATTATCATATTAGAATTTATCATAAAAAAACGAATAATTAAAGTGACAATTTCTACTTTCTGATTTTACGAGCTTAATTATCATAAAAACTGTGATCATTTATTTATAAATAAATAACTTAAAATTTTCACATGATATTATCACATTAGAGCAAAATATGAGAGAATCGATCTATTTTATTTCAGTAATTATAAAATAAGATTATAAAAAATTACAACACTACAATTTTAGGTTTATGTTAAGGGAAAAATGTATATCATTTTAAAGGATGTAAAGTTGTGTCATTTTAAGTGAGAGAAAGAGATAGATAAATGAAGAGAGAGAGTGGACAGAAAAAAATAATGATGTGGGTCCCACCTCTTTATGAGAGTGAAAGGATATAAGTTATGTAATTTAAAATGACAAACACTTTTCTCTTATGTTAAAGACACATGCTTCTTGATAGCTCAAAGGATATCATACTTACTCTAATATTCCTACAAAGGTTGAAGGAGGACAATCTTCTTCGACAGTTCACATTACTCTCTGTTCATAACTGGGGCAAGTTGTGGAGCCATTGCTTCAAACATATTGTGAGTTCAAATCAAACCTAACTAAACTTATTAATCTTAGTTCTTTTCCCATTATGGGTATATGAATTAGACATATATTATTACACACACTAATCAGTGTTACAATATTCAAATTTAAATAAAAGGATCACTTAATCAAGCGGGCATATATAATACATCTCCAAATGGATCATGATTTCGTCCATTTTTATTAAAACAAGGAAAATTATGATTAATTGAAACCCACAATAATTTAAAAAAAAAATTCTAACATGAAAAACTAGTCATGTGACTTAATTAATTACATGATTTTTTATTTTTTATTTAAATAGAAGGGTCTCAGCCATTTTCGAAAATTAATCTCTACCATTGAATTACAATTAACTTACTCCTTGAAAAAATTAATAAATACATACAATAAATGAAGAAAAAACTCAATCACGTGCTTGAACATGGTCAACTTCCTCAGCCGACCTTAGTGGAGAAAGAAATGGGTCCTGACGTTACTCTCTGTAAGCTTCTACTGATCAAGATGCTTCAGTAGTCCTGAGCCATGACAAGAATTTGTAGACGAACAGAGGGTGGGTAGGACTTGGATTGGAGAACGTAATAAGATTGTTATATACTTAGTCACTTAGATGCTTGAGACGTTGTTTTAGAAAGAGTTGAGTTGTAGAATTCATTCATTAATGAAAAACTGCCTCACGTTAAAAAATATAAAATTATATTATTTTAAGTCAGAAAAATAAATAAATTATGAGAATAGAGAGTGAATTTTTAAAAAAAAAATATAAATATCATATTTTTATAAAAATAAAATGACATAAATTATATCATTTTAAAATACAAACATTTATACCTACGTTTATTTATACACTTTCGATTCCCTTAAGTTTTGGCCAGATCCATCAAGCAAAAATTAAACAGTTTGGTCATAACATCACCTCAAGAAGAATCTTACTTGAAATATCACAGACACAGATTAAAATCTGAAATGGGACATTTTACCTAACCAGTAGCTATGAAGCACGCATACATATATGACTATTTGACATGATAATATGAGTGATATGACAACAAAATTTATATTGAGAATCAAAACTAAATATTTTGACAGGCAAAGTCGGACCTGTAAGTATAGTGTTGGAAGCGTGCTCGACATTAAAGACTCATGTTTCATCGGTATCGATATTGGATACGATACTTTATATATTAATTTTAAAAAATATTAAATTTTAATATATTAAGATATATTTTGATATTGAATAATATTTTTAATTATATAATATATATTATATTTAATATTTAATAATTAAAAAAATAAAACTAAATTTATAATACTAATTAATTTTTCAAAAAAATATATCAGATATCTTAAATATTTATATTAAACTCAATAAAATATGATAAACATAATCTGACCAATCTAATTGTTAAAACTAAAAATGCAAAATAACATAATCTTTAAACTTTTTCGTGAGTTTCTGCAATGTGTATTGGAGTGTCGGAGTATCGAAAAGTATCACATATAATACTTCAATTTTTTTCAAATATGGGTGCATTATAGCTTAAGACACATCAAGATTAAGGAACAATGTGTCTATGCTTTGCAGTTCACCATTACAAAATAATCTCACAATTATAACCTATAACCTTAAAACTCGGTGAAAAAAAAAATGAAGGCAATGAAACTTCAGGAAAGTGCAGTAAACCACTATCTCCTTCGTCAATGGAACAATTGAGTGCTTAGGGCAAAATGGATTTATTAGATTTTTCAAATCTCAATATATATTAATATTACTCCGTTTTCTCTCTTCCGAATTTTTTTTTTTGTACAAAAAAAAAATATATTTTTTTGGTAAGCCCGATAAATCTTTTAAGTTTAGGTATTTAATACGAACAAATAGGTTATGGTTATTACTTCCAAATGTCTCAAAATTAAAGAAATGTAAATACAATTTTGAAAACATTAATTAAGGGAGTAGCAATTGTATTTTTCATTTTTAATATGCTAACTATAAATTAATATTCAGCGTCTTTGACAAAAAAAAACAGTTTTATCATAAATTTGTATGTAGTAAATTGTTTTGCAAAGCACCTTGGAGAACTCTTTTTTTTTTTTTTTTGGTAAATAGCACCTTGGAGAACTCTATTTAAGTTGTAACTGTGAGAAATAATATGAAAGTATTTTGTTTTTTTCCTTAAATTATGATTTTTCTAAATTAAAGTGTTCTTAAATTAGACTTTATCTTTTTTAAAAAATAATAATATTTTTTGAGGGTTGAAAATATTTTGTCATTGTATAATTTTAACTTGCATGTTTAAAATTTAAAGTACATATGTTTTTGTAATGTAATCTTAGACACATAATGTAACATATTCTAATGTATATCTAGTAGACGATAACTTTCATAGGATAAATCATAAATTTTTGGCAAAAGCACCGATATAAGACTTTTGGATAAAGGATTTATCGAGTTAAACCACATTTCATATGTTTTGCAGCCAAACTAATGCAATCAAGCACGTACTAATTGGTACGGTATCAGTCCCTCACCATTATAGTATGGGACTAGTAGCCACATCATCCATATGCGTTAGTCCTGCATCATTTTGGCACATGACTCTATATCAGTCCATGTTAGCCTGACCACACTGAACATGTACAATCTCAGTATGGGACTAGTCACGCACCTGATCTGTACGGGACTAGTCTCGTATTGACACTGTATGTGTTTAGTGCTGGTCTTGCACCACTCAGGTGTGTGACTTAAAGGATAATGCCACTTGCCCCAATCCTGGCCATCCATCCTACCAAACCAACACCAAACCCTCTATATAAATCCTCTCAGCTATGAAAATCACATCCCAATGTCAGATTCTCACCTTCCTCCTTTCTGTGTTTGATATTTGCGTTGTTTTTACACTCACCTACTTTCATTATTTATCACTCTCATTTTGTATTCTATTATTTTCAAACTTACTCTCTACCATATCATCTTGTATATCCCATCCTTATTTTGAGCCCTAAACTACCCTCTATTTTTTGGTTTTATTTGCATAATAACACTACTGCAATAGATCAATTTTGTCCATTTGTATATTATAATGGTTCTAAAATTGTAGGTGCGGGCAATTTGACTTTCGAAGGGGAAAAAGAGCAACGTATATTGTCTGAGGCAAGTCTGTTGATGTTAGGATAGCGGATCCTAAATCGATATTTCAATGCAGAAATAGAAGAACCAAAGAGATCAGAGAAAATCAATTGAAAAGTTTCTGTATATTCTAGTGCTTTTCATTGTGACACCTAATCGGGCATATAAGCCACGTTCCCTAACAATGTGCTAACAGAAAGTAAGCAATAGACACCTTGCAATGACTCACACATGAGTCATACTATCAGCAGTAACCACTCAAACCAAGTGGCCCAATACAAATAACAGTAGTGTATTTTATCAACTGGAATTAAAGCATAAAAACTACAAACAGTAATATTCTTTATTGGGCTGTCTAAACCACATAGTCTTTGGCCCAGGCAGGAGCTCCAGCTCTTCTCTTCATCTTGGGCCCATCATTCATAACATTGCTCTCTTCTTCCACAGGAACCTTGTCCTCAAGGTTCATAACAGGCAACACGAAATCTGGATAATACATAGTGATATCATCCTCATCTTCCCAGGTTGCATCTTCAGGAAGGGAAAGTGCCCACTGAATTAACCATTGTCTCTTATCCCCTTGCAAGTGAATCATCAAGGCAGACAAAGGAACTTGAATAGGATTGTTACCATGACTGATTTCGGGCAAAGTTAGAGCAGCTGCAGTACATGCACCCTTGAATGGCTTGAGAACAGAGATGTGAAAAGAGGAATGAATTCGACATCCTTCCGGTAATCCCACTTGATAAGCTACAGGACTCAAGATCCTAGTGATAGGAAATGGTCCGAAATACCTCATCGCAAGCTTTTGACATTTTCTGTTAGCCAAGGTTAGTTGCCTGTAAGGCTGCAACTTAACTAACACCAAATCACCAACAGACAGGGTCACATCTTTCCTATGCTTATCAGATTGGACCTTCATCCGGTTCTGAGCACTATGTAAATGCTCTTTGAGAAACCGAAGCAACTCATCTCTGTGGCTCAATGTAACATCAACAGCCTCAACCTGAACAGTACCTCTAAGATAGGGTGGAATCATGGTTGGAGCCTTACCATAAAGGGCCTGGAAGGGAGTCATTCCAATGGCTGAATGGGCAGCAGTATTATAATGATACTCAGCCCATCCTAAAAACATTGCCCATTTATGGTTCTCCTCATGGCAGAAAGCTCTCAAATATTGCTCCAAGTATCGATTAGTGACTTCTGATTGCCCATCTGACTGTGGATGGTAAGCGGTGCTGGTTCTTAAGATGGTGCCACTGTACTTGAATAGCTGTGATCAGAAATGGCTAAAAAATACTGAGTCTCTGTCAGAAACAAAAGTCCTTGGGAAACCATGCAATTTGACTATCATGTCACAAAAAAGAGAAGCCACCTTTGCAGCTGTATAAGGGTTGGCTAAGGCACCAAAATGAGCAAACTTAGTTAAACGGTCCACCACCACCAATATAACAGAAAACCCCTTGGATATGGGCAGCCCTGTAATAAAATCCATGCTTAAATCTTCGAATACCCCTTCAGGTATAGGTAGTGGTTGAAGCAACCCAGCAGGTGGCGAGGTTGAAGTCTTAATCATTTGACAAGTTGAACAACACTTGACAAAGTCATGGACATCCTTACGCATGCCTTTCCAATGGAAGGAGGCAGATAACCTCAAAAAAGTCCTAGCAATTCCAGCATGCCCACCAATTAAGGTTGAATGTGCTTCCTGCAAAATCATATCCTTCAAGGCAGAATTTGTTCCCAAAAGATATCTATTTTTATGATATAGAATACCATCTATATCAAAGATATCAAGATCCAACAACTCATTCTGGTGCAATTTCAGCCGAATATTGAGCAATTCAGCATCAGTCCTATTTTCTTCTCGGATTTGATCAATCAAAGAGAAAACAGCTTCTGAAATTAAAGCCAGAGTAATACCTGTGTGCTCCTCCTCACTACATCTGGACAAGGAATCCGCAACAATATTGGCTGCCCCTGGCTTGTATTCAATGTAGAAATCATACCCCATTAATTTGCAAGCATATTTTTGCTGCTCCACTGTTTGTACAGTTTGAGTTAAAAGCTCCTTCAAACTTCTGTGATCTGTACGAATGGTGAATTTAGAGCCAAGCAAGTAGTGACGCCCTTCTTAACAGCTTCAGTCAAAGCATACAACTCCCTAACATACGTGGATGCTACCCTCATTCTTGGTCCCAACTTTTTGCTAAAGAAAGCAATGGGATGATCCAACTGGTGGAGAACAGCCCCAACTCCCACTGCTGAAGCGTCAGTCTCTACTATAAAAGGTAAGGAGAAATCTGGCAGGGCCAGTACAGGAGTAGTGGACATCACCTCCTTTAAGGCTGCAAAAGCCGTGGCAGCTTCATCATTCCAAATAAAGGCATCCTTCTTCATCAAATCAGTCAAAGGTGAAGCTAATGCTGCATAATTTCGGATGAATCTTCTATAGTATCCTGTGAGACCAATAAATCCTCTCAACTGCTTAATTGTCTTCGGCTGAGGCCATTGTTGCATGGCAGCAATCTTCTTGGGATCAGCCCTCACACCCTCTCCAGAAACTAAATGGCCTAAATAATCCACTTCAGCCAATGCAAACCCACACTTACTTAGTTTCACCATAAACAAGTTATCCTGCAAGCAAGTCAGAGTTAATACCAGATGATTATAATGTTCCTCCATAGATCTACTATAGATGAGGATATCATCAAAAAACACTATAATAAACTTCCTAAGATAAGGCCGAAACAAATGGTTCATGGCTTCCTGGAATGTGGAAGGGGCATTGGTTAACCCAAAGGGCATCACCAAAAACTCATAATGCCCATCATGAGTCCGAAATGCAGTCTTGGAAGTATCTTCCGGAACTAATAAAATCTGGTGGTAACCACTCCTTAGGTCCAACTTAGTAAAGATCCTTGCTCCCTGCAGCTCATCGAGCAACTCATCAATGGTAGGTATGGGAAAACGGTCCCGAATGGTAATGTTGTTCAAAGCCCGATAGTCAATACACATTCTCCACGAATTATCTTGCTTTTTAACAAGCAACACAGGTGAAGAGAAAGGACTACGACTTTCCTTAATTAGACCAGTAGCCAGCAATTCAGAAACTTGACTCTCTATCTCATCCTTTTGATGATGGCCATATCTGTAATGCCGAACATTAACTGGCCGTGCGCCCTCTACCAAATGGATGGCATGGTCACATCCCCTAGGAGGTGGCAGTCCCCTTGGAAACTGAAAAACAGGCTGGAATTGCACCAAGATGTTCCAAATCGACAAAGGAACTTGTTGTTTCAATGCCAACAATTCGGGTAAAATGGCAGTCCCCTCCTTCCCATCCTCAGCCTTTATATGCAAACAATGTTCATCAACAGGGACCACAGCTTTACAAGTAGTTTCACCCTGTAACACCACCCTTCCTTCCTTGGTCATAAATTCCATAGACAAATCAGAGTAATCATGCAGCACCCTACCAATTTGACTTAGCCATGAAATGCCTAAGATGATACCAAAACCAGAAAGCTCAATAATCCACAAATCTACCGCAAACGAATACCCCTGAATAAGCAATGGAACATTCATACATTTTCGATCACAAATTAGAAACTCCCCATTTCCCAAAAACACCCTCATCCTAGGAACCTTCACGGATGGTAAACCAACCTCCTCAACCAATTGCTTTTGGATGAAGTTATGAGAACTTCCAGAATCCACCAGGATAGGAGTGAGCTTACCATGAAAATCCACCCGGAATTGGAGAGCTCTGGGATTTTTATCACCCTTCAGAGAGTGTAAGGCAGCTTCTTGAGGCACCTCTTGTGCCAATCCTGGTTGCCAAACAATATGTTCTTCAGACTCCTCAACACCATCATCCCAATCTCCCACCATTAAGAACAACTTGGACTTACACTTGTGGCGAGAATTCCACTTTTCATCACACGTATAGCATAAACCTAACTCCCTCTTCTTCATTAATTCCTCATTACTTAACTTCTTATAGGGGACATTAGAAGGCAAAGCTGGAAACACTAGTTTCAGGCTGGGCAGGATGGAAGGCACTGATTTAGGTTGGTCCACAGTATAAGAACTTTTAGTAAAAGTCTTTTTTTCTCCAGGAGATTGAAAAGAGGAACGAAGCTCCACAAAATGAGCATCATAAGTGATGGCCAGCTGCATAGCCTGATGGAGTGATGTAGGTGAATGGAGCTGAATTGCCCTGCGAAGATCAGGTAATAAGCCAGATACAAAAAAACTCATAAGCACCTCATCAGAGAACTCAGTGACCTGATTGATGAGAGCTTCAAAGTTCTTGATATACTCATTCAAATTCCCCTCCTGAGTGAGTTTTGAAAGCACACCTCTTAGATCCGTATATGCAGTTCCCCCAAAACGCTGACGAATGGCCACCTTCAAATTTTCCCAGGACTGAATGGAACCCCCGTTGAATAACCACTGGAACCAAGGTCCAGCCAAACCCTCCATACGCATGCCAGCCAAACGGACCTGAAGAGCAGCAGGTACCTGTTGCAATCCGAAAAATAATTCGGTACGAAAAATCCAGCTATTCGGATCAGTGCCATTGAAAGCCGGTAACTCCATCCGAATGGACTTCAGCAAAAAACGAGGATCATCAACACCAACACGCGGATGCGAAGTTCCCGCGGAATCAGTACCAGAACCTCCATGCATACCATGTGGTCGAAAAGTTGCCCCAACCACTGTAGCGCGAATCTCTTGGATCTGAGCAGTAAGACTGATGAACTGATTTTGATGTTCATTGAAACGTTGCTCAACTCGAGCCTGCATGTCTTCCAAGACACGATCAACACGCGATTGGAACGCGCTAACTTCATCTGCTAGGTCTTGAACGCGCATGGTGAAATCTGATTGAGGTCCAAGGAGATGAAAGCACCAATGTTAGGATAGCGGATCCTAAATCGATATTTCAATGCAGAAATAGAAGAACCAAAGAGATCAGAGAAAATCAATTGAAAAGTTTCTGTATATTCTAGTGCTTTTCATTGTGACACCTAATCGGCATATAAGCCACGTTCCCTAACAATGTGCTAACAGAAAGTAAGCAATAGACACCTTGCAATGACTCACACATGAGTCATACTATCAGCAGTGACCACTCAAACCAAGTGGCCCAATACAAATAACAGTAGTGTATTTTATCAACTGGAATTAAAGCATAAAAACTACAAACAGTAATATTCTTTATTGGACTGTCTAAACCACATAGTCTTTGGCCCAGGCAGGAGCTCCAGCTCTTCTCTTCATCTTGGGCCCATTATTCTTAACAGTTGAAGATTTAAAGGAGAAGATCCATTGAAAGTTGAAGCTCCAACAAAATCAAATAGTATCTTCAGTGATGAGTACAGTCCCAAATGAAAACAACAAATATGTAGGGTTTGATATATTTGATAATGATGACGTTGATGTTTTTCTTAGAATATTAGTTGGGAACAAGTACGCCTCACTCTCTAGGTCCAAGGTCAATGCAAAAATGCTGACCAACCATTTAACTAATAAAAGTTTGCAAAAAATCATAATTACTATTTTTTAAATATCAACGTTCATTCTTTAATCACCAAGTCATAATTATTTTATAATATTTAAAATAAAAAATACGCATATTTAAGTAATCATCCCGTAAATTATAAAAAGCCTTCCTAGGATCATTTAACATTAATTAACTATAACATTAAAATGGCTACTACCATAGTGTTTGAAACATACATACAATACCTAATTATCATATATAATACCCCAAATAAAGGCCAATTAACATACTAAAAATATTAAATTAAATTAAACCACTAGGGTTAGCCTAGTGGTGTGGGGTGTGTGTGTTAGGAGTGTGGATAGTGAAGGGTGTTGTGTTCAATTCCTTGTAACCTCCAAAAAAAATATTAAATTAATTCACCAAATTATAATCTTAAATACTATAACATAAAATAGGCTTATATCATAAGGTTTCATAAATGACATACAAATTAATTTAAATAATAAATGACCAAGGATAGAATACTTACATGTATTGGTGAAAATCACAAATTGTAGAGAGAAGGCAAAGAAAAAAAAATTAGAGAGAGAAACATAATTTTAGAGAGAAGGATAAGAACGATGAAATAAAACGAGTGAATGAGAGGGGGGATGTGTGACGGGTTACTAGAAAAAAGTCACGTACAAAAGCTATGTTCCACTAGTTTCGTACCGGTCAGGTGCGGGACTGCCAACATGGCTTTAGGGAGTCATGTACCAAAATGATACGGGACTGATGTGGATGGCTAATGTGGCTATAATGGTGCAGGAATGATCCTTTACCAATCAGGTACGTGTTTGACTGCATTAGTTTGGTAAAATATATGAAATATGGTTTAACTGGGCAAATCTTTTAACCAAAAGTCTTAGTCTAGTACTTTTGCCTAAAATTTTTGACAACATTGGATGGCAAGAATTGATATCCCTCATGTGAAACTTTTTGGAAGTAAATTTGTTGTTAACAAGGCCATTCAATACCTTAATGATGTTATTATAAACAAGTTAATTGCGACAGGGTGTCCCAAACTAATGGATAATGCATCAATCAAGTTATATTTTAGATAGTTTTGGGTTCGTTAATGTTTTGCTAGATAGATCGATATCATACATTAGTTCAAAACTTACACACCGGGTGGTGAAATTGAGCATGATAGTCGAGGCTTTCATGGTTTTGACGTCAATAAATGCTCCCATTTCTTTACAAACATTGACACCACACTATGTTGAGAAGAAAGAATGGATTCATAATATCTATTTCAACCGTTGGATACATTGATTTATTTTATAGTACTATAGAGGGAAGACGTTTTGCATTTTGTCTTGTTTTGTTTTGGATAAGCACAAAGGTAATTGAGAAGGCCGATATCAATTAAGATTATCATTATTTGTTCTCAATACCCCTTATTATATTATTCTATTCTTGCTCGTACTCATATCCGTCTTTTTCACTCTCACATTCTTCTTCTTACATGTGCACGTGTGTCTATGCAATAGTGAACCGTAATTTTAAATAATGTATCACTCTCCTATTTTATTTCTTCTTCTCGCACTCTTTTCAGTATCTTTATTTTCTCATTCTCCTTTATACATTTGTTCGTGGCATGGTTGAACTGTAACTATAAGCAGAGTATCACTCTTTCACTACATCAGTCTTTTTTTTTCGATAAACACTACATCAGTCTTTTTACTTCCTCATTCTTCTTCTTCGTCTTGTACTCCTTTAAGTCTTTTCACTTTCTCATTCTTCTTCATACATATTAACATGTATGATGGACATAATTTAATGAAGAATTATAAGAGTGAAAAAATTGAAAGAAATGGGCAAAAAAAAAGAAGAATGAAAAAGTAAAAGGACTGAATGTAATAAAAGAGTGATATTCTGTTAATAATTGTAGTTCACCCATGCATGGACCGTATGCAAATATACGAAGGAGAATGAGAAATTAAAAATACTAAAAGAAGTGTGAGAAGAAGATACAAAATGAAAGAGTGAAATTATTGAAAAGAGTTGGATAGTGATATATTATTTATAATTGTAGTTCACTCTTTCATGGATGTAAGCACATGTATGAAGAATGAGAGAGTGAAAAGACTGAAAGGAGCAGGACAAGAATGTAATAACAAGAATAATATTATAAAAGGGTATTATGGACAAATGATAGTAATTTTAATTGTTATAAACTATAATTGATTGATATCAGCTTTCTTAATTATCTTTGTGCTTATCCAAACATCTCCCCTCTATAATACTTAAAAATAAATGGTTGAAATAGATACAATAGAAATATAAACATTATCAATCCATTTCTTCTTCTCAATATAGTGTATTGTCAATATTTGTATAGAAATAGGAAAATTATTAATGTCAAAACTATAAAAGCCTTGCTTCTCATTCTCGATTTCACCACCCGTTGTGTAAACTCTGAACTAAGGTATAATATTGATCTATCTAGCAAAATATAAAGTAACCCAAAACTTGCTAAAATATAACCACATACTAACATTTTGGTCAATGTGGTGTTAGGGACAAGATCCCCGTATCCAATTGAGCTAAGAGTTACTATTATGAAATAGAATGCATGCACATTTGTTGTGTTTGACTGCCCTCAAAATACTTAAAAGATGTCACGTACAATGTTACTCCAAATAGCCATATTAAAATATTTATTGTCTTTTTGGCCATTTTAGTACTAAGATTTCCTTCTGCATGAATATCACAATCGTCGTTGTTAGTATGCTTAAACTCTTCTTGAATAGGTATTGGCATTGCGTTGTCATCCTGAGCCTTGTCAAGAATAATATCGCCTCCACCTAGTGCCAAAACCTTTCCGGGAACAGCAAAGCCGACACTTGATAGAGATATTGAAAATGTGAAAAATGAGAACTTGTGTAGTCAAGATGGTGTGGTAGTAAAGATAAGACTGTGCTTGAGAGTGGGAAGATGGAGAAAATTTAAAACAGAGTGATGGTGATAATGATGTTGATGGTGGGCATAAGGTTGCATCACAATTGCATAATAGAGATGTTAAAAATGTGCAAATTGAGAACTTGCAAAGTCAAGATGATTGTGGCCGGGATGATGATGGTATTGAAATGCATCGGATTAGCCATTAACATGAAAGAGAAATTACAAAAAATATAGGAAATAAGGATTTGGTAACATAACGCCAAGGAAGTAGTGGTGGATAAAATCTAAATCGGGAGGGTGGAAGTGGGGCAGGAGAATTATGGAAATTGTAAGAAGTAATGAAACTCCTCAGCCACCGACTTTTATGTTGTGGATGAATAATATTGTTCTTTTAGTATATGTAGCAATTGGTATTGTAATATACATTGCAAATGGAAAATTGAAGGACAAGTTATGCTCTATATTATATCTTACGTTATAGTAGCGGTCTCCTCAACAGGATTTGGAGACTGGCTCCCAACACCAAAACTGCCAAGGTGTTAATTACATTTTGGCGAGTATGGATGCTATGAATATATGGTTTGATCGCTTGATTTCCTATCTTTCTTCATTAGGGATGACAAGAAAATGCAATAAAATTTTTATCGCATGTATGATTGATAAAAAGACTGAAATTACATGTATGATCGATAAAAATGCGCGCGTGGGAGCTATACATATTTTGTTTGATAATTTTTTTTGCTTGCATTGTTATAGAAATGGTTCTCTTACATTATGTTGAACACATAATGTGGATCAATATTTTATGTTGTCTCGTTGTATCCATGTCAATAGCAGGGTACAAAGACAAATATTTCCATACTATGTGTAGAAGTTCCTCTCGTTACAATATGATTTTTTGGAAGTAAATTTGTTGTTAACAAGGGCATTCAATACCTCAATGATATTATTATAAACAAGTTAACTGCAACAAAGTGTCCCAAACTAATGGATAATGCATCAATCAAGTTATATTTTAGATAGTTTTGTGTTCCTTAATGTTTTGCTAGGTAGAAATAAATCCATTTAAAGGGCAAAGACAGAAATGACGAATTCAAAAAAGAAATATACAGTCAAAGCTTAGGATGAATCATTTCTGATGTGAGATATACCAAGTCAATACTTTATACATGAATTGGAAATATGTAATTGTTCATTTCTTTATCTAACATTACCTGCGAAAACTAGAAAAATTCCATCAATGTATCACGATAATACTTGAATAATTCGTATTATAGAGTTTTTGGGTTGACAGTCAACTCCTAGTTTCTCAAGTTTTTCTAATGTAGTAGCATTAATAACATGTTCAATTTCAAAAGTTAGCACTCTACATCTGAATATTATTTCAAACCAGTATATATACAGTATTCCCAATAAGTGA